AGCCTTTTTTAACTGGGCTTGGAGCCTAATATGTTGACATTTACAGGGATTATGGTATTTGAAGACAGTGTGTCGCACCAGTTCGTTGACTCATAAAGAATTAGCGGGACCTTAGGAACTGAGACTTAAACATAGCTGGAAGACACCGCATAAGTGAGTAGTTTTGATGATCATCACTAATATTTAGTATGTTTTGAAGTTCACCCTAGTTTTCTTGGTGACTCCTGTTGGGATCTAAGCAGTTTGTACTCAGAAAACTACAATCATCACGCCCAGTTAGGTTCTGAAGAAAAAGAAGAAAGAAGTCAGTTGGAGTAATTTTTCTGTACACAAACTCCGCGGTGCTCAGAGGCCTCGATGCGCAGCAAGCTCTCGGCCTGGGCAAGCGGCTATCTGCTAGGATGATTTGGGCGTCATGAAGAGTGAGTTGCTCAGGGCAAATGGCAATCCTCATAGTTTTCTCAGTCGATTCTTGCAACGCCAGACGAGAGAGCCTTTGGAGCTCGGATTGTCCATGGGCCGGAGGCAATCATCAGGGTTAAGTGATGGGACCGAACGACCCGCTGCCATGGCAGAGAACGTTTGGAGTATTTTCCGAAAAAGAATCCACATCGGAGGAGTGGAACGAGTGCTCTTTTGTTGGGTGACCGAACTTACATCAAGAGTAAGGATGAATGGTGACAACACCCAAATCGCAACTCATTTGATCGACCTCGGTCACACCTTCAAGCTCAACATGGTCGAAATCTCACCGAGCGTTTACTACCACCTGAGTCGCGAGCTTCTCAATTCATTTTATCTGGCCCTCAGCGCTTCGACAAACACAATGACCTCTCCCCTTCTCTGTTCTTTACTGAGATTTGGACTGTATGTGTAAATTATTCGCGCATGAAATGCATGTTGGAAAACTGCTTCTTGCGGCCGTATTGGTGGGACGCACTGCCCGATAATTCATGCACGCCGGTAATGAAATCTCGGTCATTTATCAGTTGAATATGGGTGATAAAGCAGTTGCCATGCCAGCTACGACCAGTCCCGACAAATTCGAGAGAATTTTACCTAATCAGCGTGTGTTTGCATAGCAACTGTGTCCTATAAATACTGTAGCCCCATGCGTCTGTTGCCGCTATTTGTTGTCGCCTCTGTCTGATTATGGGACCAAGAGTAAAATCGAAATATCAGTCGAATAAGATTCTTGTTTCCACGATCGCAACTTATGTTCAACAGTTTCCTGAAACTTAATTTCCCATGTGTTAAAAGACATGTAGTTACGTACATCAGTGGCTACTCCTAGTTGGTTCAGTACGAATATTTAAAAAATCCTCTCATGCGCATCAGAAATTTCAAGCTGAGGGTTGTCAGAATGTTACTTGGGCCAAACGCATCAGCAGCAGGAACTTACTGATTTTGTAAAGCCCTTCACGTGAACGTAGAACGTTGGTCTGTTCTACGCGTCTTCTTTGCATTCTAACCATGTCTTCAGGGAGGATATGCTGGCACCGACCGAGAAGGTTGCTTGTGAAAAAGTTTGTGGCAACTTTCTCGTAATGCATTCTCACTTAATGTTATAAATCCATGAGTGTCTTGTGTCTTTTGTCATTCCTAAAAACTCCGACTTCTTATCGTTGTACACTTTCCCAAATTGCGGAAGTTTATTAGGCATAGGTCTACTCTAACTTCAACACTATCCTGGTGCGTCACGGAAAGGAGTAGTTTTGTCCTCGGGGCCCTCGAAATCGCTCTTGCTCGAAGGCAGTCTTAGACGGTTTTCAAAACTGCACACAGTTATTCATTGTTTTGAATTTTCGCCTGCTGCAATCGATTTCAGTAGAAATTTATGCCTGTCTGTGTTAATGGATGAACAATTTTTTTGAAGAATGCATGATGGATTTTCTTCCAAATAAGCACGATTCTTTCTGAATTGGATATGAATAATAAACTGACGTTTGCCTGAAATTTTAAAGTTCTTGCGCAACTCGTTCTCTGCTAAATTGTTTCCCTTTTCGAGTGGACTTTTAATATTCCGTTTTTTTCACAGTCTAGTATTGGTTCTTTCTAGAGAAGAAGAGTAAAGCATCTTTCCAGCGTAGCGAAGAGGTGCTACCAGCGCATATCCATCCAAGTGAGAAGGCAACGATTTCGGGTTACACTGCCCCCGGAGTTGTTGCCGAGGGTGCTGGTTTTGGAGGTATCGCAGCCAGCAGTGCACAGACTCTTCGTTCAAGTCCAGCAGCTGGAGGATCGAAGAGTTTGGCTCTCGGTTCCCAACTCCGACAAGGCACATCGGCAGCCCAAAAGCGGGACCTTCTAGCGCTCGACATGTAGGTCTTGGTGATTTTTGCTAACATACAATGAGTGAACCGCTCTAACGGACAAATTATAAGTCAAGGGTTCTGCGAATTCTACGTCTTTTTTTCTGTTGGCAATGTTTGTCACTATTTTACGTCCTTCTCAATTAGCAGCAACTCGTTAACGTGCGATCAGCGGTAAAAAGTTTAATCTGAGAGCCTAAAGCAAGTCCTCGTGCCTGTAATCAGCATAGAACGGTTTCTGCCACTGCCTGTCAACCAGATGTGATCAATCGTCTAAAACAGCAAGTTAGCAAAGCTAAAATGGGACGCACTTTAGGTAGCCTACCCCACGGTATATCAGTCGCAGTTCTGAAATTTGTTTCGACTAGAAAGGACTGTTTCGGTGGGGTTGTACTATTGATTACAGTGCAATACCGTGATGCTGACTTTTGACTGACCTATCTTCCTTAAATTATGGCTACTTAAGTAGTGTTAAGTAGTAGATTTGTTCGTTTTTATTTCCGATTTCCTTCTAAATCCGAATATATTTTATGGAAAACATGGAAAAGTCAATTCTTAAACTCATTTGAAAGTGAGTTGCGTTTGACGGTTTTTAGTTGGCGAAAAGGCACTTTTTCTGTTTTCAAGAATGATTTAGTTCTCGAACAACTTTTACCGACCTGCAGTTTTGCTAACGCTTAAGGTTTCCAATTTATACGCTGTATCCTTTCCATGACAGGAAAATCAGATATTTCCCTACGTTATTATGACGTCACACGGGGCTTTAAATTGTGCTATATATGTGGACCATGCTGTATACTTCATAAGTAGCATTACTGACCAGGCGGGTAATATGCTGCGGGGACAGATCTTTCGTGGTCTGAAAAATCCTCATGAGATCCCCTTTCCTCAAGTATAGCCTTTAGAGAAGTCGTCATTTTTTATCAAATGTGTGCAAAGCATATTTTTTCAGAGATCGCGTCTTCCTCTTCTTTCCAACAAGAACCTGGGGCACGCATATTCGCTTCTATATTTTTTTCATGTTTACTATAAAACGTATGTGGATTTTTTTTTAAATTTGCGAAAATTCCCATTGAAAATTTCAGAAAATAAATTGGCGAACACCCCCCTTCCCACTCCCCCACCGA